CTTGTCAATGAAAAGCATGTCCACATCTGCTTGTCAGTGAAAAGCATGCCGACATCTGCTTGCCAGTGTAAAGCATGCCCACATCTGCTTGTCAGTGAAAAGCATGTCCACATCTGCTTGTCAGTGAAAAGCATGCCGACATCTGCTTGCCAGTGTAAAGCATGTCCACATCTGCTTGCCAGTGTAAAGCATGCCCACATCTGCTTGTCAGTGAAAAGCATGCGCACGTCTGCTTGTCAGAAAAAGCATGTCCACACTTCTCATTAAACAGTCACAGCTACCCGGAATGCCTATTTTCCCCTTAAATAGTTTTCTATTCAAAATTCCAAAATTGATCATGTTATAATTTGTTTTTTAACTGCCAATGTAACTAAAAAAAAAAAACAGCAATAATAAAATAATAGAAATAATAATAATAATAATAATATATTTAAAAAAAGTAACGATTAGCAATACATGGCAATAGTTAGTCGAAGTTGCTGATTACAAATTGTTTATGGCATATTTAAAGTTAAATAAAAAGACCCCCAATTAATGACTATGACAACAGTCCACAAAGTGTAACTTATCAAACGATCCGCAAAAATTAAATGTCTGGACAGACTAGTTTAGATGAGAAAAATCTTATTGGAGTAGATGATCTAGAAACGCAACCTATAAATGGTTAGGGCAATGTATGTAACATTTTCTAGATCTCTTGTCACGGTATCACGTGTCAACGTTGACGCTGTCTAATGCTGTCTACTACTGCGTCACAGAGAGTCGTCAAAATGACACATCAAAATAAACATCAACAGACGCAATGTAAAAAAAAAAAACAACAACAAAGAACAAGCAATTTAAAAAAAGCAACGGCAGAAACACAAGCAATATAATAACACTCACCAAAGCCTCATCCCTTACATTACCACGCATCCATCCTTGTCGCGCTGCAGCCCTTGTTGGTCTTTGGCCCGCCCCACCACTTCCTTCCACTCAGACCTACCTGATGCTTTTCTTTTCCATACTAGATTTCCAGCTGCTGTAGATCTTTTTCCACATCGTCGATCCATCAAAGCCTAGGTCTGCCTTACAGACCTCCATATTCATCCTTAGTTGGTCCATATATTTTCCAAAGAACTTTTATCTCCCATTTCTTTAAAAGGTTTCCTGCCGTTTTTTATTAGGGTCTAAGTTTCACTTGCATATGTTACAACTGGTCTGATTACAGTTTAAAATAGTTTTCTTTGTTTTTCTTGGAATGTTTTTAGTATTTTACGTCTACTGGAGTTTCCTCTGTTTTCTGTGATATTCTTTTGATCTATTATGTCGGTATTTCATTTCTTTCGTTTCTTAAGGATCCTAGATATTTGAATTGATTTTCTTTTTCAAAAGCGTGGTTTCTAATTTTAATGGTTTCACCTGTCTCTTACCATTGTCATGTATATAGCTTTTTTCGTTGTTTTTTAACTTTGAGTCCTGCTTGTAGTGAAGCATCTTCGTATTCAATAAAAAGCTTTTGATATGTCTTTATTATTTTTTGGTAACAGTGCTATTTCATCAACAAATGCACGTAATCAAAAGTACCAGGTCGGGTAATGGTGAAAACATTCTCAAAAACATTAAAATACACAAATCTCACAGCCAGCAGAAATTTAGTCACCCAGGCGACAGACGACTCTCCTACTCGTGGAGTATCTCGCCTAGTCAGCAATGAATGACCTAAATACACAGACTCACCTGAATGTCCTATGAAAGCCATCATCCCTGAGCTCTTCTTGCGTGATCATGGTCACGCGGAACCAGAAGTTTACTGACAGCAGACTGACCAGACCACGTGCCAAGATTCGATTGGACGGTTGTAAACTGATGTACAGGGGATTGTGAAACTGGTGGGGAAAAAAAGTGACCGACATTAAAAGACACATCGTCTCTCTGTAACTAAGTAAAGAATACACTGATACAGACAAGACACATCGTCTCTCTGTAACTAAGTAAAGAATACACTGATACAGACAAGACACATCGTCTCTCTGTAACTAAGTAAAGAATACACTGATACAGACAAGACACATCGTCTCTCTGTAACTAAGTAAAGAATACACTGATACAGACAAGACACATCGTCTCTCTGTAACTAAGTAAAGAATACACTGATACAGACAAGACACATCGTCTCTCTGTAACTAAGTAAAGAATACACTGATACAGACAAGACACATCGCCTCTCTGTAACTAAGTAAAGAATACACTGATACAGACAAGACACATCGTCTCTCTGTAACTAAGTAAAGAATACACTGATACAGACAAGACACATCGTCTCTCTGTAACTAAGTAAAGAATACACTGATACAGACAAGACACATCGTCTCTCTGTAACTAAGTAAAGAATACACTGATACAGACAAGACACATCGTCTCTCTGTAACTAAGTAAAGAATACACTGATACAGACCCACTGACACGTACGCAAAACAGATTTAAGACATTACTCTGACTCTTACCATTTATACAAATCTGAAACTTCCATTCTGATGATGCTCTCAACCTTATTGGCAACAATTAACAGCCAATTTATCGCCCTTCAACTTTGGTAAATTGGAAGTGATGTTATTGTTAAGCGATCCTATCGTGTTGTTATAAGTGTATGCCGATTCCAATTTTTATGTGTAATTCATACCATACTGTTATGTGTAGGCCATTTATATTTTGTTTTTTGGGGTCAAGTTGGGGCTCTATACCCTTTACATGCATGCATATGACCAGGGGCGTCGCGTGGTCCCAGCAACTCCCACGGGGCCCAAATTAGTTATGTGGGGGAAAAAATATCAACTGTGAATGCCGGATGCTCAAAACCAACTGGCTGGGAAGGGGGGGGGGGAGCTGGGTCATGCTATGGCATTGCATATGCCTTAAAACGGCACTGCAGACCTCTTTGCAGTGACGACACTTGCTAGTTAGACCAATCTTTGTGGACAGGAGATAGTAAGACCAATCTTTGTGGACAGGAGATAGTGAGACCAATCTTTGTGGACAGGAGATAGTAAGACCAATCTTTGTGGACAGGAGATAGTAAGACCAATCTTTGTGGACAGGAGATAGTAAGACCAATCTTTGTGGACAGGAGATAGTGAGACCAATCTTTGTGGACAGGAGATAGTGAGACCAATCTTTGTGGACAGGAGAAAGTAAGACCAATCTTTGTGGAAAGGAGATAGTAAGACCAATCTTTGTGGACAGGAGATAGTAAGACCAATCTTTGTGGACAGGAGATAGTAAGACCAATCTTTGTGGACAGGAGATAGTAAGACCAATCTTTGTGGATAGGAGATAGTAAGATCAATGTTTTGGGATAGAAGATTGTTAACCCAAATTGTTGTGTACAGAAAATTTTAAGGCGAATGTGTGTGGATATGGGATGTTAAGCCCAAATTATTGTGGAAAGCAAATTTTTTGGCCAGTGTTTGTGGACAGCAAATAAATGTTAATCCTAATCTTTGAGGACAGGAGATGTTCAGCCCAATGTTTGAGGACAGGAGATGTTCAGCCCAATGTTTGAGGACAAGAGATGTTCAGCCCAATGTTTGAGGACAAGAGATGTTCAGCCCAATGTTTGAGGACAAGAGATGTTCAGCCCAATGTTTGAGGACAAGATATGTTCAGCTCAATGTTTGAGGACAGGAGATGTTCAGCCTGATGTTTGTGAGCATGAGATTTTAGGCTCAAGTATAAAACTTTTTGTTTTTTTTGTTTGTTTTATTACAGTAGTGGCAACCCAAATTTCCATGAAACGGTTCTATAAAATAAAGTAATGTTGTGGAACATAATCTGGTTCCTTCTTTTCAATTTTTGGATGGTTCAATTTCTGATTCGCTAAACTTTTATAAATTTTAGAACAAGTTCTTGCGATCCATCGTGACCCGTTAGGGTGCTCCGACTGGTTGTTGTACCCCTCAATGCTGATGGTGAAATCTCCAAGTAAAAGTATACCATACTCTACCTTAACCCCTCAATGCTGATGGTGAAATCTCCAAGTAAAAGTATACCATACTCTACCTTAACCCCTAAATGATGATGGTGAAATCTCCAAGTAAAAGTATACAATACTCTACCTTAACCCCTCAATGCTGATGGTGAAATCTCTAAGTAAAAGTATACCATACTCTACCTTAACCCCTCAATGTTGATGGTGAAATCTCCAAGTAAAAGTATACCATACTCTACCTTAACCCATCAATGCCCGCCATGGGTGCCCGCAGAAAACTTTCTGGGGGGGGGGGGGCAAAAAAACGATAAACGTTCCAGGGGGGGGGGGAAAAAA